AAATTAATTTATATCAAATTAGAACATTAGCATCAATTGACTTTAGAGTGTTTTGAAAAGTTGGTAAAAGGTTGACTTTTTGACCTTTTTAGTTTATTTTGTCCTTTAGTAGTTGAGTTTTGTGAGAGGTGATGTGACTCAAAATGGGTAAAAAGTTGAGAAGATGACTTTTTACCATCTTCCTAAAAAATTCCATCAAGAAAGAGAACTCAATAATTATTTTTAACAAAAAGTGGGCTTGTATTGCCCAAATTGATTTCTATTGATTTAAGTGGTAAAACTTATCACTTTATATTAATTTTTAAGAGATAATAAAACAAATATTATATAAATTATGTGAAAAACATTATCAAAAAATCACAAATAACTTCTCTTCCATATAGTTAGAATTGAGGCCTCTAACCGTGCCACTACTTCATCACACCAATTTCAATTGCATTTGCTTTTATTAAAAATATTAAACTTAGGCTGGGGAATTGATTATTTTAATTAATTTTTTAAATTTTTTATGAAAAAATATGTAAAAAAATCAAAAAAATAATACGATATTTTCTTTTGCAACTACAATTTCATTGCAATTTTTTACCAATTCCATGGAAGTATCTTGATTTGTATATGACAATATATTTTCATGATCATGAAAGTAAAATTTTGTTACTAAAAACTTTTTCATTATTAATTAGGAATTAATTTTGTTTTTACCTTTGCAAACTTGATAATCTTGTAATATATTCCACCACTTCAATGCACTTTTATCAAGTTTGTAGGATGCAAATATAACCTTCTTTTCATGAGGAATCTTCATGAATTCAAAGAAATTTTCAAGATCAAGCGACCAATCAAGAAAATCTTCTTTTTGAAACTTACTTGAACCGTTAAAATATGAGATTTTTGCAAAATAACGTAAGGTAACAGGTTGGCCTCTGGTGAATGCTTCGGCGCAATTGCTGTCAACTATTGGTTGCCTCTGGTTGACGATTAGTCCCAAATCGGCAAGTAGATTACAAATCTCATTGTGAAGTTCATGCACCTCTAGCCGATATTCCTCAATCACATCCCATATGACTTCCACCCTATGATCAATGTCAATAGGTATTGTGTGTTCTCCATTATCTTGTGTCATTGAGCTAGGCGAATCTATGCTTTGATACCACTTGACGTAGTGGAATACACGGGGACTAGATATCGTTCTAGTAAACGAAAGAGGCTCTTGAATCTACAAGAAAAAACAGAATCTTGAATCCACAAGGAAGAGAAAATATCTTAATAGTATTAAATAAAAGTTGAATAAAAGTTCTTAAAATCTTGTCCTACATCATATTGATTTGGCGGTTTTGGAGAGTAGAGAACTCATTGTATAAAGGGGGTTGGGGTTTGTGTAAAAGAGCAATCCTCTTGTGCCTTCTTTTTCTCTGCAGTGATCACTTCTCTATTTTCTTTCATTTGTGGATGTAGGCTTCTGTCTGAACTATGTAAAGTCTGTGTGTGCTTGTGCGATTGTTGCTTTTCTATTTCATCCTGAATCTGTGATTTGTCACAGCAAATAATCTTAATCACCGCCACATCAAATTTCATGAACTTACGCTTTGTAGTTGTTGATTGATCATTTATTTCCTGCTTATTCTGTGTGCTAGAAGTGATGATGAGGATGATGGATATGGCATCTATGGAACAGAGTCTGGAACCAGTCATTTTCCTCAATCTGATGACTATTATGGTGCTGTTAGTTATGATGGGATTGACCACCTCTATGGACTACATGAAGTGCATCCTGATGCCGAGAACCATGGCACAAAAAACATGAGTTCCTCCTCGTTACTGTGATACCCCTGTTCTGTATTATGCTAAATTGGTCCTTAATTTGTTTATGATTGTGTGTTTAGCATGATTTTGTGTGCCATTACGCAAACATATATGATTTTGAAGTTTTATCTGTTCATCGTAGGAAAATCTGTTTGAATAATCTGCTTTGGAAATTAAATTGAGGGCCTTATCGGCCACAGAACCCGAAATTGATTACGCCATTGTGATTGGCATAATTTTTAGAGCCTACGGTGAAGTTTAATTGAAAAATTGATTTGGACCAGATTAAGTTGATTAAGTTGGTAAAATGAGTGCCCAATTACTCTATATTATTATATTGTGACTTAGTGAGGCTCTATACACTCAAATACCCTCCTTGTTATTCCTCTTGGCTGACTTAAACGTAAGAAAGAGATAAGGGAGTCGGCTAGAGAGAGGGAAAAGATGAGAGTTTGGTGTTTGGCTCAAATTTGTGAAGAATTGGAGGATTAAACTCAAGAAATTGCTATAGTTTGGAAGATTGAGCCTCTAGGTAAGCATTGGGTCTTGAATTCGTAAGTTTGAAATTGTGATCTTGTAAATTCAAGGGTTGTTTGTGATCAAGAGCATGTAATAAGTTGATTTTTGTTGAGTTTGAAGTCTTAAGAACTCATGCATGTAAGAAATTACTTTGAATTTGCATGTTTGAGCTTGAAACACATGATTCATATAGAGTTTTGGTTGAAACTCATGTTTTGATCACCATTTGTACCATCTGAGTTGAGAATGATGAGCATCTCCCACATGCATGCACAAACCATGGGAGTATAAGTCTTGAATGTTTGAATTTGAGCATGTTGATGATGGGTTTGAGATATTTTGGGACATGCATGTAGATAAATCATGAAATTGAGCTTCCTGATGTTGTAATCTTGTATTAGTAGCATGTTAGCATGTGTAAATGTGTGATTTGAGCCATTGCATGCAAGTAATGTAGCTGGAAAAGTCGATTTGGAGCTCAAGAACAAAATCTGGGAAACCCAGAATTTTGATGTCCGCTCGAGCGGGGTAATTTACGCTCGAGCGGGAAAATGCAGAGTTGGATGTCCGCTCGAGCGGGATACCTCACGCTCGAGCGTGGAGTTTTGTAAGACGAGCCTTCAGCTCGAGCGCTCTATTCCACGCTCGAGCGCATTTTTCATGCAACCAGTACTTTTGCAGGCCTTAAGGGTCCGCTCGAGCGGGCAAATTGACGCTCGAGCGGGGACCCTAATTTCTGGAATTTTGTTCATACGTTCTGTGTTTCGTTTTCCGTTCTCTTCCACTTGTAAGCACTCTTAGGCATATGTTAAGCATTGTAAATGAGTTAATGAGATAATAATAAAGCCTAAAGAGGAATATGTGAATTAAAGAACGGATTGAACTGTTAATGACCCTTTTGTGTTCATGAAACGTGTAGGGTCAAGCTCCAGGGCAAATCCACAAGCCGATCACTGTGAGTAATATCTATATTCGAAAGCTCGTCAATGTCCAATTGTTATTCCCTTATAAACTTTATGAGTTGTTAATTGGGATTGTGGACAAAAGTCTGGCAGGAATGAATGAATGGACCGAAGGTCGTTTTGATATAAACGAATGGACCGAAAGTCGTTTTGATGTGAATGAATGGACCGAAGGTCATTTTGACATAAATGAATGGACCAAAGGTCGTCCTGATGTAAATGAATGGACCAAAGGTCGTTTTGACACATGTGAGTGGGCCGAAGGCCGTTTTGACATGAATGAGTGGGCCGGAGGCCGTTTTGACATGAATGAGTAGGCCGAAGGCCGTTTTGACATGAATGAGTAGGCCGAAGGCCGTTTTGACATAGATGAATGGGCCGAAGGCCATTTTGACAGAAATGAATGGGCCGAAGGCCGTTTCGACATAAGTGAATGGGCCGAAGACCGTTTTGCTATGAATGGAAACCCAATGGGCCAAAGGCCAGAATGTTGGAACTACAGTTACCTGATTTGCATTTCGTATAGTCGTATATATTTGCTAATTAGAAGTATAAATTGGGTCCAAGGCCGTTTGGAGCATGTTGTTCTACATATTGTTATGTAACTGTCATACTTGATGTTATTCACTGGGCTATCGCTCACACTCATTCATGTGTTTGTAGGTGAGCCAAGAGAAGCACAAACCTAGCCCCAGTGAAGTCTGCTAGGGACAACATGAGTTTTGGGAGAGTCAGCCTTGTGCCTCACGCATGAGACCATCCTTGCCCTTTTTTTTTGTGTACTTATGCTTTGTCTTGTTGGCAAGGGCCTAGTGTATGTCTGTACATAGTCGGTTATAGGTTGACTCGTTTGGATGATCCTGTCTGTAATGAATTTTGTGAAACTGTATTTTTGATGTGGGTTATTAACGTATCTGAGTATGGTTTTGTTAATGTGCATATAAGCACGGCTCTATGGACAAAGTTTTAAATTTTTGCTTCCGTTTGGCCCCTTTACTCTGATGTGTTAAGTCTGTTTTGGTTTGAGGCCGTAGGTAATCTTAGGATTACTGGCCGGTTACGTCCTTAACCCATGGGGGCGGGTTCGGGGCGTGACAGTTGTAGACACCCCATTTTTGATCGTCCTCAAGACTTGGACGTCACCGTTTGAACACCCGGTGATCATCCATGTTTGTGTTCGTTTGGAGTTCCCGGAGGTCTCGGCTACACGCTTTGCCTCAGGATCTCCGAACTCGACTGTTTAGTGTCTGGTTTTGCACCAAACACTTGTGTTTTGCCTTGGAGGGGCAGGGAATGCCTTGTGACTTGCAGCCTGGTACTTGCGCCCGTCCTTGCAGGCCTTCGGGTCTACTTTTAGGCCCAATTTTAATAATCCGAACCGTTCATATTTTATGATTTATTCAGTATATCATACCTGTAAAAAATCAAGTTGATCGGATATCAGAAAGTATGTGTTTGGAAAACTGTTTATTAAATTATTTAAAAAATAGTTTTTAGTTCAATTTTTCGAACACATACTTTCTGATATCCGATCAACTTGATTTTTTTACAGGTATGATATACTGAATAAATCATAAAATATGAACGGTTCGGATTATCAAAATTGGGTCTAAAAGTAAACCCGAAGGCCTGCAAGGACGGACACAAGGATAGAAGCTGCAAGGAGAGGATCCTGATTCCCATTCGAGACCCCCAGTGAGGCATTTTTCTATTCTCAGACTCAATGAATGAATCCCTACTTCTAATTTCAATTTCCTAAGACTCTCTTTTTCTCTCTCTCTCTCTCTCTCTCTCTCTGTGACGTGTAGAGATATAGAGATATATATGCACATGTTGAAGGTCGAGAAGAAGAAGAAGAAGGAGGTAGTCGAAGAAGTTGTTAGTGTTCACGGGATTTTGAATTGGTGCTTGTTTGTACTAGTACTACTAGTCTAGTCTTTGCTTGGTTTCGAGTAACAAATGTGTGGTTGTGAGTGAAGCTCGTGTCGCATTGAATGGTTGTCGATTCGATTCTTGCTGATTGCACTCCTCCTCTCCTCTTCCTCCTCCTCCTTCTCCTGAGGTCTATAAATTTTGACAAGTTTTAATAGCAAACCAAGCATTGACTTGGGTTGGGGGATTCCAGTAGGATTCGATTTACACTTCATCATCATCGTCATCGTCATCGTCATCGTCATCATCATCATCAATCAACTTCTCTCTCTCTCTCTCTGTGCTTCTGTTTTCCGATTATTTCCATGGGGATGCTGACTTGACTGGTATCCAATTTTAAGCTCTACTTGCACTTAAACTGCTGCAATAATCATGAGAGTCATTCCGGCTTAGCGTGTAGTTTTTTTTTTTTTTTTTTTTTTTTTTTGTTCGTTATTCTTCACAAATTTGTAGGAACAGAAAAAAGTATAATCCAATTTGGCCCTCTAGTTAGTTTCTGTTCAAATTTATATATTTTATTTTAAAAAATGGTTGTGTCCCGAATCTCTGTTAGTAATGAATATGAATATGAATATGAATATGAATATGAATATGCAGTTTAGGGTTTACAGTAGTAAATTAACTAACCAATGAACATTTTATAATGATGAATGGGATGAAGTGGCATCTTTGTCTATGGGTAGCCCCGATAATTACAATTATATGCTGTCTGAGATAGTTGACATTGTCAAATCATGGATCCCAAGGATGATGGAACCAGCAAATATGTCTAGGGATTTTTGGATGCCCGATCACAGCTGTAGGGTATGCTACGACTGTGACTCCCACTTTGCCCTATTTAACCGCAGACACCACTGCCGCCTCTGTGGACGTGTTTTCTGTGCCAAGTGCACAGCTAATTCAGTTCCTGCTCCTCCTGATGACCACAAGATCCCCCGCTGCGAAGATTGGGAGAGGATTAGGGTCTGTAATTATTGCCTTAAGCAATGGGAACAGGGCACAGCTGTGGTTGACAGTGGGAAAATTGCATTAAGCCCAGGCCTCAGTCCGTCCCCATCGACCACAAGTTTGATTAGCAGCCACACTAACTGCAGCGGCAACAGCAACAGCAACAGCAGTGTTGCTTCAACACAGTACTCAACTGGTCCATACCATCGGGTACCATATAGTACTGGCCAGAGTCCTCGAAAATCTCTTCAAATGGATCCTTTTAGAGTTGAGCAAGATCAGCTAACATATCAGAGGAGCTCAAATTCCATTGCAGATGCTGGCGATTCATTTCCTAACCAATTTGATTTTTGCGTGAACAGGTGACTTCCCCCCCCCACCCCCTCCCCCTTTTCACTAATAATGAATCTACAATGCTCCAAATGTTGTCAGTCTTTAGTTTATTATTCAGAAATGTTAATTACACAGATATACTTTTTTTTTTGTGGGCATTACTGTTCATGATTATGCTTGTTAAAATAAGTAGAACAAGTGATTTGATGTGTGGTTCAAACTTGGAAGTGGCCATTGTTTCCCTTGCTTTGTATTGTGTTGTGATAATATACTTCTTCAACTCACCTTGTATAATTTCACTTGGTAAATGTGATGCTCTTCACAATGGCAGTTGCATCTGGCACCCAGAATTATGTATGTGTTTCTAGTGTTTGGACTCTTATATATATACAAGGGATGATGGTGCGTGATAACTTGCTTTAAGTATCAATGCTTGATGTTAATGGGGGTCCTCGACACAACCTACTAGCTAGTGGTTGATATCTGTAGTACGCGCAAATTATCACAAAATAATGTAAACCAGAATCAGACATTGAAACACTTACAAAATTGAAGTTACAAATAGAAACTAAAACTATATTGTTTTATCATGTTACAATATTTGGCATTATCTGATACTGTATGCTATCTATCTTTAATCTCAAGACTTTCATGTTGACTTTGAAAAGTGCTCCAAAAGGAAAGCATGAACAAGATCCACCAGCAAGTTGATTCTCCTTAAGTATCCATTCAACTTACAGACGTGGTATTTTAAAAGCAGCAGTTAACCCTGAAAATCATGATCTCTGGTTTTGTCAAAAAAGTGTATCATATCTCTCTAATTTTTATTTATTTTGTTGGAGCAAAATTCTGCTATTGTAAATTTGAACAAATTTCTCCTGTCAGTAGTTATTTGGAAAATTTGGGGTACAGCTGGGCACTGTTGATCATGCTATGTTTTGTTAAATCACAAGTTGCACGCAGTAAGTATGAGTATACCTTCTCCTGCTTGAAATTTTTTCCTGGAGGTATTTTTCTTTTGTTGAATTTGAGTAGGTGATGGGCATCACATAATGATCACATCCCTGTATCGACAACTAATGTCTCAATGGTGCCTTCAATTCAGTATCCAAGTGGCATTTCTTGAAGGCCATGAAGAGGCTGAAATCCTCAAGGCCTGGGAAAAAGGATGTTGGGGTTATTTGTCTTGTATTTGGACCTATTGATTTGGCGGTTTTGGAGAGTAGAGAACTTATTGTATAAAGGGGGTTGGGGTTTGTGTAAAAGAGCAATCCTCTTGTGCCTTCTTTTTCTCCGCAGTGATCACTTCTCTATTGTCTTTCATTTGTGGATGTAGGCTTCAGTCTGAACTATGTAAAGTCTGTGTGTGTTTGTGCGATTGTTGCTTTTCTATTTCATCCTGAAGCTGTGATTTGTCACAACAAATAATCTTAATCACAACCACATCAAATTTCATGAACTTACGCTTTGTAGTTGTTGATTGATCATTTATTTCCTGCTTATTCTGTGTGCTAGAAGTGATGATGAGGATGATGGATATGGCATCTATGGAACAGAGTCTGGAACCAGTCATTTTCCTCAATCTGATGACTATTATGGTGCTGTTAGTTATGATGGGATTGACCACCTCTATGGACTACATGAAGTGCATCCTGATGCCAAGAACCATGGCACAAAAAACATGAGTTCCTCCTCGTTACCTAGGTGCCTTGAGACACCTGAATTGGAAGGAATCAAAAAGGTTGAGGAAGACGTAGCCAGTTGCAAAAATGTTGATGGGTGTGAAGTTTCTCCTGTATATAATGTGGATAGTAAGGAGTCTGAACCTGTGGATTTTGAGAACAATGGGCTACTTTGGCTCCCTCCGGAGCCTGAAGATGACGAGGACGAGAGAGAAGCTGTTTTGTTTGATGAGGAGGATGATGATGCTACAGGAGAGTGGGGTAACCTACGCTCTTCAAGAAGCTTTGGTAACAGTCAGTTCCATAATAAGGATAGGTCAAGTGAAGAACACAGGAAAGCCATGAAGAATGTGGTTGATGGGCATTTTAGAGCTTTGGTTGCTCAGCTTCTGCAAGTTGAGAATCTACCTTTGGGTGAGGATGATAACAAAGTGAGTTGGTTGGATATAATTACATATTTGTGCTGGGAAGCTGCCACACTTCTTAAGCCAGATACAAGTAAGGGTGGAGGAATGGACCCTGGTGGATATGTAAAGGTCAAATGTATAGCTTGTGGACGTCACACTGATAGGTACTTCTCTGATTATATAATATTTTCTGCAGTGAACCATTTTTATTGCCCTATCTACAGATGTAACTAACTTCTCCATTTATTGGAGGTCTCACTTACATCTCGTTGTCCATAATGTTTTCTAACTTTGTGCTCATAGTAATTTACAATTCAGTATCATATTTGGTTTTGGAAACTAGTAGCTACTGACGAGTTCTTTTTGCACTTTTAAAGTGTTTTAGGTCATGATTATTGAATTATTGAGATTTTGAAACTAATGATGGAAACTCTGATCAATGACCGGACCATGTACAATAGAGGTGGAAATGTCACACATGTTCAAATTGATATGTCATACTCTCAGTTCTCTTCTCAGGGCTTGTGCATGACTTCGCAGAACTAATTATGGTTTAGATGCTTAGTAACATATTTTTCCTTTGTGCACCTTTTTTGGAATGTTGACATGATCGATCTGCGGAATTTGGAGAGGAACTAAAGAGAAGCTGTTTCTTTCTTTCTGTAAATATATATATATACATATATTTTCTAAAATATTTGAATATGCTTGTAGAGAAGAGAAAGAAAAAAATATATTTATAATGATATCACACCTGTAAATTAACAAAAATTTGCAACTTTTATGTGTATTATTAATAATATTTTATGAGGAATGCATGTATTAAGAAAAGAATCTTAATTTCATAAAAAGGGTAAAATTTAGAAAAAGCAATTCAAATGACTAACTCTATATGGTTAGGATTAGGTATTGTTGATTTAAATTTATGTATTTCTGTGCCTATCTACCAATTATGCTCATGCTAACAAAGTTTTGGTTTTAATTCTCTAGTACGGTGGTTAAGGGAGTTGTGTGTAGGAAAAATGTTGCCCATCGGCGAATGGCATCAACAATAGATAAACCACGATTCCTAATCCTTGGAGGGGCTTTGGAATATCAACGGGTTTCTAACCACTTGTCAAGTTTTGATACTTTGTTGCAGCAGGTGTTGATTTCAATCTTGCTACTTATTTATATTTGTAAAATGATCACCTTGAGTATGTGTCTACAATGAGGAACGAAGCTGATGAATTATCAGTTGTTTGCTTGCTTATGGTTATTTCTTGGTTCCTTGTTGTCATGTTTTACAACCCCGTACAGGAAATGGACCATTTGAAGATGGCTGTTGCAAAAATTGATGCTCATCATCCTAATGTTCTTTTGGTAGAGATATCAGCATCCCGATTCGCACAAGAATACCTGCTTGCAAAAAATATATCACTTGTTCTGAATATCAAGAGGCCACTTCTAGAGCGTGTAGCTCACTGTACAGGTGCTCAAATAGCCCCTTCAATCGATCGTCTTACATCACAGAAAATAGGATATTGTGACTCATTCCACGTGGACAAGTTTTTTGAAGAGCATGGCAGTGCGGAACAAAGTGGGAAGAAATTGACGAAGACATTGATGTTTTTTGAGGGTTGCTCGAAGCCATTGGGTTGTACTGTAAGTCCTTCAATACAGACACCTCAGTATGGTTTTTTTTAATATGGAAAAAAATAGATGTGTGGCCCACACACTGTAACACTTTGTTAATAGTATCATGGTGACCTCATAAATGTTAGTTAACAGTGAGAATTGTTTGTGTTTTTTCATCTAGGCTATCCATTTGAAACTAGTTTCTGTGAGTGCAGAAAAATGATGTATTGGAGACAAGGAAATATTTTGTAAGCAGGCTAGCAAGATCATCAATAATATGCACTCCAGCTCAGAATGATGGGTTGGGGTTGTTAATGCCTGCAAATTCCCTAATGGTTCAATTATGCAACTGGTGGACCCCTGTACAGTACTTTAGTTATCCTTTTAATCCATCTGGCCCATGTAATGCATAATTAAAATTTTCAACAGGAACTGAGGCATGCATATCTTTCTTTCAGATTTTGCTCAAGGGTGCCAGTGGGGATGAGTTGAAGAGAGTGAAGCATGTTGTCCAATATGGAGTCTTTGCCGCTTATCACTTGGCTCTAGAGACATCTTTTCTTGCTGATGAAGGCGCTTCTCTGCCAGAACTTCCTTTAAAGTCTCCAATAACCGTTGCATTACCTAATAAATCCCCAAGTATCGGCCGGTCCATATCTACCATACCTGGTTTTATTGCTCCTGAGACTCAAAAGCCTCAGCCTCAGGGTGCTTATCCCCTTGATGAATCACAGAGATCTAAAAATAACTTGTCAGATTTTGCCTCATCAGCTATCATTTCCCCCAAATGGAAATCAGAAGTGGCACAGTCAACATGGTTGACTAAGGATCCTATCTCTCAAACTTTGCACTCAGAACCTCCCAGAACTGCTGTGGAATCTACAGCTTCTCTCGACTCCATGTCTGCTCCGGGGCATCTTTTCAGATGCTTACCCAAATATTTTCTCCCCTTGTCATGTCTTTGAGGAGAACAATAATGTGGGTCTCAAGGAAACATTAATGGTCAACATTGGCCAAGTGCTGGGAGATGATAATTTAATGTAGAAATTTAATGTATAAAGAGAAATAGAGAATTGTATTATTGATTGATTTATATTGATATATATTACAATGATTCATGATTCCTATATATATAGAAGAGGGTGAGTGTGTAGTAGGTAAGGAGTAGGTGAAGTGGAGGTGGTAGTGGTGTAGTGGGTTAGGTTTAGTGGAGTAGGTGAGGTGGTAGTGGTGTAGTGGGTTAGGTTTAGTGGAGTAGGTTTAAGTGGGTGAAGTAGGTGGAGAGTAGGTGGATTTTAACATTTAACTTCTAATCATTTTCGCACTTCAGAGTTGGCATCCTTAGCACAAGAAAGCAACAGTAACCATGGGGAGGTGGGGTCTCTGAGAGAAGAGTTTTCTCCCTCACCCTCTGACCATCAAAGCATTTTGGTGTCCTTAACAACACGCTGTGTGTGGAAGGGAACTGTATGTGAACGTGCTCACCTCTTGCGCATTAAATACTATGGAACCTTTGATAAGCCTTTGGGGCGGTTTTTACGCGACCATTTGTTTGATCAGGTAAGATCTCTTCTATTTTCTTATTATGATCATATTTCTTTTCCGGGAAATCCACAGTTCAATTTGAGTTTGAATAAGCATGTCTTCTTTCCTAGAGCTACCGGTGCCCATCATGTGAGATGCCATCAGAAGCACATGTTCATTGCTATACTCATCGGCAAGGTAGTCTTACAATTTCTGTTAAGAAGCACCCCGAGTTCCTTCTCCCAGGGGAACAAGAAGGAAAAATCTGGATGTGGCATCGGTGCCTGCGATGTCCTCGGACCAATGGGTTCCCTCCCGCCACTAGAAGAGTAGTAATGTCTGATGCCGCATGGAGTTTATCTTTTGGGAAATTTTTGGAGCTTAGCTTTTCAAACCATGCAGCTGCAAGCAGGGTTGCAAACTGCGGTCATTCCCTTCACAGAGATTGTCTACGGTTCTATGGGTATTTTTTTTTCTCTTCAAATAATGTTGTGTAGTAAATATGCAGTATTCAAGCATAATCAATCCTTGCCTACTAAGAACGATTTTTGTCAACATAAATATTCAAACATTTAGGAATGGTCCGTTTTCTGATTCCGTCTTATCTATTTGTTCCTTTTTGTTAAAAACCAAATCTTTGGTTGGCTCTATGCTTATGGTGATGCATGTCCAGTCATGTTGGACATGCTTGTGACATATCTACAGATTCTGATGTCTTCTCTACTATGTATGTGTTTTGTTTATATCAGTTGCAGGTTAGTTACTTCAAGTGATTTTATAAATTTATATGCTTGAGACGTTTTGTAGAATAATGCATGAAGAACACTTTAATGCAAGACACTAATTTTCAAAATCTTGTTTCAATTAAGAGTGCCGCATCGTTGTTTGAAATAACATTTTTCTTATCTTTTCTTGCAATTATCATTGTTTATAAGGAAGTCTCCAATTGAAATGGGCTTTCTGCTCTGAACTTTTTTCATATAAATACATGCTTAGATAGCTTAGCAGGCACCAACATATCCTTTCCTTGGACATCTTGTCGCAGAAGCCGCAAGCATGAGGGCGCTTATGAACTTTAGAGGCTTGGCTTAATTAAGCATAATCTTTGTCATCCTCTTACTTTATTTTATCTCATGTGCAGTTTTGGAAGAACGGTTGCTTGCTTTCACTATGCTTCAATTGATGTTCATTCTGTGTATCTCCCACCCCCAAAACTTGAATTTAATTATGATAATCAGGACTGGATAAGAAAAGAAGCTGATGAGGTACATATATCTCATGTACTGATTTGGATTCATCTGGTAATTTAATAGTTTGCATTTCTCATTTGGTGATTGATTTTATGTGAAACAATAGATCAGAAGCCGGGCAGATCTCTTATTTGCTGAGGTGTACAATGCTGTCCGTCAAATTTCGGAGGGAACATCACTTGACAGTGGCATGAAAGCACCAGAATCAAGAAAGAGAGTTGCAGAACTGGCAGGGATGCTACAGAAAGAGAAAGAAGAATTTGAGGTAGTTGGTTGATGTTCTTGATCTCTGCCTTTCTTCCCTATTTCTGAGCTGGATTTGCACGAGATAAGGTTTCCCACCTTCTGCAGAATACAGATTCATGACCTGTACATGAATCAGACCATTTTCTTATGAGCAATGTCATGAATAAATGCTAGGTTGTTATTTCTTGACAAATATAAACTTCTCATCGTCTAAGAGATGGAATTAAAACATTATTTATGTTTTGTTTTTAGATGTTGAAAATATCATCATCCAACTAAACTAAGGTATTCAATTTCAACCTGATGTATCATGTATGATTTCCCCTAGTTGATGTACAATGCAAGGAGGCCTTGATATTGTATGCTGCAATCAAGGCAATTGCTGTTTCTTCTTGCCTCAAACAATTTGCCCGACACATCACTCATTTTCCTTTAGCTAGGAAGTTATTATCACTTCCTGCAGTGTGTCTCTTTTTTTTTTTTCCCCTTTTTCTTTTTTAATTGTTTAATTTGTTTTGTTTCAGGAATCAGTACAGCAAGCACTGAATAGGGAAGTTAAAGTTGGCCAACCTGCAATCGATATTCTTCAGATTAATAAACTTAGGAGGCAGTTACTCTTCCATTCTTATATCTGGGATCAACGTCTGATATACATTGTCAGTTTAAATAGCAAGAGTGTTCAGGAAGGCATGAACAGTTCGACAGCAAAACCGAAGGAGAAATCTGTCTGTTCTAGTGACAGGCCTGTTGAGATGAAAGCAACTTCAAAGCCTGGTAAACGGTTCAGTAGCTTCAGTAGCTGTGACTCCTTTCTTCTGGATGGAAAGCCTGATATAAACTTGAACCAATGGGGAAGTCTTTGCATGACTAACCAACCCAATGAAAGGTTTAGTGGAGTAGGTTTAAGTGGGTGAAGTAGGTGATAGGTTTTAACACTAACCAACCCAATGAAATTCGTAAAGGAGAAGACATGGATCATGACCTGGATTGTAGGAAGGAGGCTGAGGTTTATCTTTCTTCTGGCAGAAATATGACTGATCAAACAAACAATATGGAGTCCGCAAAAAATGTACGAAGGGTTCTTTCAGAAGGGCAGTTCCCAATTAAGGAAAACTTATCTGCTACCCTGCATGCGGCATGGACTGGTGAAAATCACCCGGGAGGTGTAACATCTAAAGGGACTGGCTGTGAATATGCTAACAAAGTTATGGAAGGTTCTTCAGATGTGGTTGATTCAGTTGCTGCAAACTCAGATTTGAAGAACCATACTGATGACCAAGATGGGGCTAAGGTGGCTCATTCTCTTGGCTTTTCAGTCCCTCTCAAAGAGCAAAAGAACTCCATGAGCTGGGTGGGGATGCCCTTCGTAAATTTCTATCACTCGTCGAACAAGAATTCTTCATTGAATGCTCAAATTGTTGGCAAAGTTAGTGAATATAATCCTGTCTATGTCAAATCATTCTGGGAGATGGTGCGTCAAGGTGGTGCCAGGCTACTTCTTCCTGTGGGTGTTAATGATACTGTTGTCCCAGTTTATGATGATGAACCTACCAGTATTATATCATATGCACTTCTCTCACCACCAGATTATCATACCCAAATATCCAATGAGCCCGAGAGACCTAAAGATGGTGTGGAATCTTCAGTCTCATCATTGCTTTTGGATTCAACTAATCTTCTCTCGCTCAACTCTGTTGATGATAAAACTTCTGAGTCCTTTAGGAGTCTTGGCTCTACTGATGAGAGCAGTTTATCCATGTCTGGATCTCGGAGCTCCTTAGCGTTGGATCCACTCCTGTTCACAAAGGCTTCGCATACCATAGTATCTTTCACAGATGATGGCCCTCTTGGAAATGTGAAGTATACTGTGACTTGTTACTATGCAAAGCGATTTGAGGCGTTGAGAAGGACTTGTTGCCCCTCTGAGTTGGATTTCATACGCTCCCTCAGTCGTTGTAGAAAGTGGGGTGCACAGGGTGGCAAGAGTAATGTCTTCTTTGCAAAAACCCAAGATGACCGATTTATCATTAAACTGGTTACAAAGACAGAGCTGGAGTCGTTCATCGAGTTTGCACCAGCTTATTTTAAGTATTTGTCTGAATCAATTAGTTCAGGAAGCCCAACTTGCCTGGCAAAGATCTTGGGCATTTACCAGGTATTATTTATGTTTTCCATGTCTGAAGAGTATGACTGCCAATTCATCTAGAAAATAATTGGAATTTGAAATTGTCTTTAGAATTGTTGGGTGGCTGGCTCAACTCCAATCTTCTAGTTCGAAAGCCATATTCCATGTTGTGAAGTGCATTTTGGCTTGACTACCATTTTCATTTCCTTTCCTTTCCTAATGCATCAATCAACCAATTGTGATGGAATCTACATATTTTTCTATCTCAAGGCACCTGTTATCTCACACAGTTACGACTAACCAAAAAAATAAAAAAATTCACTAGTTACCATGGTACTTACTATGTCTTGATTGACGCAATATGGATGCACAAAGTGTTTTCAATTGGATGTTTGAAGATACTTTCAGATTTTATTTATTTGTTTATTTTGGATATTATCCATGGTGAGTTGCATGTGAACAGTCGATCAAGTTAGTATGGTTTAGCTACACAAAGTCAACCACTTCAGGATATTTGGTCATTCTATCTAATAAGAAAGTGTTTGGTTGCAAACGTGTAATGGTTTCATTTATGTCATAAATGTGCCCTTCCCGTCTCTTCACCTTTTCATACTGGAAATTAAAATATTTTAGACAAGTTGTCGGACTTGTTTAAGGAGACAACTCCGCATAACTAACCAGGGAATATTAATCCATTAGAGTTGGCTTCATAAAACTCCATATACCCTGTTATATCATATATGTTATTTCTGTTGTCACGATCTTAACCAAACATTCTTGTTTGTTTCTCTTGTACTTGCAGCAACTTCAAGTTTTTTATTCTACTTAATTATTTCTTTTAAAATTTTTTACGTGTCCCGGCGTTTCTTATTGGTTTGATAAAGTTTTTTCCCTTTAAATTTGTAATTTGTTTTTCCTTTTGTTGTTTGGTTTCTTGAAGGTTACGTCAAAGCATCTTAAAGGAGGAAAGGAGTCAAGAATAGATGTTTTGGTAATGGAGAATCTTCTCTTTGGACGTAATGTCACAAGACTGTAGGACCTTAAGGGATCTTCTCGGTCACGGTATAATCCAGATTCAAGTGGAAGCAATAAAGTTCTCCTTGACCAGAACCTGATTGAAGCCATGCCAACTTCTCCAATTTTTGTGGGGAACAAGGCGAAGCGGTTGCTGGAGAGAGCTGTTTGGAATGATACTGCATTTCTTGCTGTAAGTTTTGGAACTAACTCTCTGCCTTGAATTTTGTTTTTTTTGAAATGTGCTCATATGTGCCTAAATGGTATTGTGGTATTCTTTGATTTTATGCTAGTAGGAGACTATTTGTATGTGTTGATGAATTGATTTTTCATTATTATGATGGTGAGAAGGGTTTGGTACTATTGCAAAATATATATATATATATATATAATAATAAAAATATAAAACTCAATTAGATGATTATTATACACCTATCCTTGTGCATCTTAAGGATTTTGACTGGTTACATTTTCCTTGCTCTAAAACACTGGGTAATCATTGCCAAATACATTTTATTTCCACTCGAATTACTTGTGTGGTCTGGGAGAGACATTTTAGTTTTCTGCTACAAGATTCAGTTGTTTGGCATTCTGTTCATTTAGGCCAATTGTGATGTTTTTTTTGCTCATAATCTGTTGGATCATGATCTTTTATTCTGTAGTGACTTACATTATGTACTTCCCTAATGTAATGACTATCGATTTATTGCAGTCAATTTATGTAATGGATTACTCTTTACTAGCTGGCGTTGATGAAGAAAAGCACGAGTTGGTCCTTGGGATTATTGATTTCATGAGGCAATATACATGGGACAAACACCTTGAAACTTGGGTGAAGGCGTCCGGCATCCTTGCTGGACCTAAAAACACACCTCCAACAGTGATATCTCCCATGCAGCACAAGAAACGCTTTAGAAAAGCTATGGCTGCTTATTTCATTATGGTGCCAGATCAGTGGTCTCCGCGGCCGACAATCATTGCCAGTGGATCCCAGTCAAACCTTTGCGGCAAAGAAAACTCACAAGGAGGTGCATCTTTGGATTAAAGCTGTGTTGCTGTATATTGTTAATTTGTAAGTTGGAATATCAGTTGCCTCTCAGTTTCTTGGTATACCATAATGCCTTACCCTTCCATTTCTCCCTCTCATAAATGTTTGGATGGCTGCTTCATCATATTTCCTAAAAGAGGACTGCTAATTGCTCACATAAGAAGCAATAAATGGCTATTTAATGCCAAGATTTTTTTATTAATTTTTTTTTTATTGGAGCACATTTTTTGATAACATTTCTGCAATAAAATGGTTTCGTGTGTATATACACGTTTTATTGTTTCATCAGAGTAATATTGTAAATGTTTAGTTTCTTTTGTTTCTTTTCCATTTTGTCGAACACTTGATTTCAACTTTGCATATTACTGTAAAATTCACTATTCAAAAAAAAAAGATAAATAAAGTTAATCCATATTATTTTATTCCCATAATGTTATTACCCAGGAAAAAAAACAGTGCATCTGAAGTATTGGAAATTATAGTTGCACTTAGACCCAAGATTCACAACCATTTATTATTATTATTAATTTTTTATTTATTTATTTTTGGGTCAACTATCAATAAGTCTTAATAATTTGATTTAATTTTCATCAAGTCTTATTAAAAATAAATCCTGATAAGATCGTCGTTAAAAATAATTTGTGTCACGATTTTTATAAATTATTGTTGACTTTCTGTGACAATTTTTAAATTGTTGTTGACAGTTAAAAATTAATTACTTTTTGTGATTTTTTTAAACTGTCGTTAAAATTTATAATTAGTGACATTTTTTACGACAATCTTCAAACTGTCGTTGAAAATTAACATTTAATGACTTTTTTTTAAACTGTTGTTAAAATTTATAATTAGTGACATTTTTATGACAATTTTTAAATTATCGTTGAAAATTAACAATTAGTAATGTATTTTAATAGTGTTGGATGAAAACTACTATTAATTATCATAGGACCTATTGGATAATAAGTACATCTATTAAGATCTACACTTAAATCTCTTATTATTTTTTTTGTTGTGGAAAGATGCAAAGACATATTATATAGAAAGAAACAGGTACAAAGTTCAGATACTAAAGGAGCTAACCAAGCACAACATAAGAAGATCAAACTAGCTAAACAATATCGCCACTGGAGGCAAATAACAGATCAAAAACTGCTTGAATACACAACTCTTTCCTTCATTAACATTAAATTTCTGAAGCCTTTAAATGAACTTTTTAGATCAAATTTCATTTTACCTTCATATGTGGTTTACCTTTCCACCATCGGCTGCCACCCCTAGCCCCTTCCCACCTCATGTCACCATCCCAACCGCTCTACCCTCCCAGCCTCTCTCTGCCCTTCCCACTCATTGCTAACTTTGGTCACTGCCCTCCAACCCCTTCCCAGCCCCTTCCCTCCTCTCTAGCAACCCCCACCCCCTCAACACCGCAACTCCCACTCATGCAGCCATCTCACCCTTCGACACCACCCCAACCCTCCACATCTATACAATACAAACCAAAGAGAGATCACTTGGCTGGAGATCAACTAAAAGGAGAGATTATCTAGTGGTGGCAAAATATGACGAGATGGAGGCAAGAGGGGAAAGAGCAAGTGGGGAGGGTGGCCGCCAAAGCTAGAGAGGGGCAAAGGAAGGTGGCCAGAGAATTTGCTATTGGTGAGGAGTGGAGTGGGTCGGTAGTTTGAGAGGGTAAGAATTGGTTTTGGTTTTGGTTTTAAGCGGGGTATCTAAAGAATTTTTACAAAATTTGAAATTAGTTAATGGTGTTCAAAAAAGCGAGCCATCCTAAGAAATTATGTGGGGCTATTACCAACCCTCAGTTCTAATCAACATTGGAATAGAGAAATGGCATGTTTCTAAACCAGGTTCAAGCTGTTAGAAACTGGCTTGCTTAAGTTCTCGGCACTAAACTAATACATAAAACCAATTCATTTGGCCAAGGCACATAATATATATATGTTTCTTGTGAAACAACACTAGCACCAGAGTACAAGTAGATATGAACCCTTTTTTTCTTTTCTTTTTTTAAATCAAATTAGTTTACATGACCTTTAGTAAATAAAACAACAGCTCAAAGACAACTCAAATAAATGATCCAATCTTTGCACCTTTTTCTACCTCTTTTCCCTTTCTGGGAAATCAAACTGCTTTTTTTTTTTTTTTAAAAAAAAATATATATATATATATATATATGTGTGTGTGTGTGTGATGAATGGCATTAAGACAGAAAATGACCCACACCGAGTTACAAGGGGCTAGAACTAGAAGCATATCCTACAGGAGGTTGTCAAGTTGCATTTGCAGATGTTGTATGGAAACCATATTGATAATTCCTTGCATCTCTTCAGGGGAGTACTCTGATTTTAGGAGGGATTGTACTTGAATATGGGCTTCAACAATGTTAGTCCTGCATAAAAAAAATAGTTTGTAATTGATTATTAGAATAAATATTTCCAGTTTAGTACCAAATTAAAATACAAGTCATTCACGCGAAATAAGAATAAAATTTTGATGAAGGCATCCTTGAGAAGATTTTTACAAACATAAAATTGCAATATTTAAGTAGGAGAAGAAAAAAAAAAAAAAAACCCCCACGAAAAACACAATTTTTATATCTCAACAGAATGACCCAAAAATGGAAACAAACAGAAGTTTTGAACAATTTCCCCAGAAAATTGTTGGAAATTGGCAATGGTAGCAAATACCCATCCAACATAATAGTATTTGAACCTCTACCCACCTACTACACTAAACCATTAGAAATACTCTATTCAAAAACCCTGTGATTGTGCATAGTATTTGCAAGGTTGATAATGCTTGATCATTCTTTTGATAAGAGAGATGTCCCCATCAAATCTAAACATTAAATATTGAACAATTTGCCTTGAATGCAGTGAACAGTAGATTAAACATGCTCTGTGCAATCAGTAACTTACTTTATAGGCTTGAAAAGTATTGTACGTGTTGATTGGTTTTGCAAATAAAGCTTCATTTTTGCCATCACTCTTGGTAACTCTTCCTTTATAGAAACACTAACCTGTTACAGAGATGAATATCATTAAACTAAACTCAAGTTAAGCTCCAGCGCTTTGTCAAGGTGGAAAATCAAACACATTGATCCAATCAATCAATCTCAGAAAGTATACATAAATACATACATAAAAATAATTATGCGCACAACAATTCAGGAAACCGCACCAGATAAGACAATCTTTACCCAACTCTTTATCGTCCCATCGGAAAATCACATAAGGCGACTTATTCATAAACTTCGGAAAAAGAGACATTGAGTAAATATCACATACCTTCTGAACAAGTTCAGCAACCTTATCAGGTGTAGCAAAAGCTTGATCCTTGAGTGGTTTTGCCAAAGCTGACTCTAGTTTTTGATTTGGACTTCCCGAAGACAATGCAACTTTCACAGCTGTCACCTAATAAGAACAAAGTTGAGAAAATTAATCATGATAAAAAAACCTTAGTCTGAATTCTTTACTTCCTGGCTATCCAGCAGATTGGTCTCTCAATTAGTCATGTTTGCTTATACGCAAGCAAAGTTAACATGGATATTTAAGCAACAAGTGTTCTCTTTGCAAAAATATGGTAGTAGTGGAAACAACAAACCTTGGTAACAAAGGAAAGCATAGGATCCACAACAAGCTTTGTGACTGACATAATGAACTCTTCACATGTTGCTTTAAGACTTTTCTCCAGTTCCTGCAAGTAAATGTATAGTCATGCACATGCTGCACTATTGACAGGAAGGAAATCACTAGAACTGGATGTTCAAACTAAATAATAACAAAGACATTCAAAGTTCTCGTGGATATACAACCTACTCAACATTTCGGTTAAGTTAATAGTATTCATGGAGGGAAAAACAATAATCCTTGGCTGATTACAAGATTACTATGAGACTTTGTGACAGGAACATCAAAGTTTTGTTGCATGTGTTAGGACTGATTATTGAAGAAGAGGCACATGTCAATCATCATAGTTTTTGAAGGCCAATGCCTTCAGAATTTGCAAATAGCAGAAAACTGTCAGTCATCATAGTTTGATGGTTTATTCTGCTTTCAAATTGTGGGTTAACTATCATGCTTAACAATATATAACTCGAGACATGTTTCTGAAAGACGGTCTAAAACCATGTAAGAAAACAATTAAAACACATGAATAAGCATTCTTTCAGGGGTTTGCACAAGCTCTAATTGGTTAAAATCCCTGGTCTCCTCATTTAATTTAGGATATGTTTTGTGGCACGATAGAATGGGAATCTCACTCCATGTCTCTTTCATTCTGTTCTTTGGGTGAGTTCAAAACATGGAATATAATTCTGGCTTACTTTCCTAAGGTGGAATGCCATCACCACACTAAGTGGGAATCTCATTCCCACACCCCCATGAGAATCTCACATGAAGCATTTAATAATAAAATAAAGTAGATGGTCTCACAACACACATTAATGTGTACTAATTGGGCGTTGTTTTTTAGATGGTCTCACAACACCTAAAATCAAGGCCATGTTTGGTTTGGTTTCCAGAAACTTGTTTCATAAATTTTTTCTAAAAAATTAAAAATTAATTTGGTGAAAAAATAAAAAAAATACTTGTCATTGTTATATAATTTTATCTTTTGTGGGGATAGAAATAATTTTCAAAATTTAAGGGAAAAAAAATTGATATTTATTTCTATCAAATTAATTTCTATTTTTCAAAAAAAATTCTGAATTTTTTTCTGAGAAACAAACCAAACAAAATGCTTGCACTGACATAGGAATCTCATTATAAGTAGTTTGATTCTAGGCGATAGGATTCCCAATTCTTCTATTTGATTCCAGCCATCCAAACATGATCTTACTTCTTGCAAGCCAAATATTCCAAATCACAAGGTTTAAACCAAACAACGATTCATACTTCTAAATGGAAACATATGATTGGCTTGAGGAAATTCTTCAATTACAAACAAAAGTTTCAAGCTGTATAGGCTTATTGAATTTTGTGGGATTGTTGGCTTAAGAAATTTATCGAGTCCGTGCGAGCCTTCAAAAGCCATATCCTCAAGACCTGATCTGCAAATGGTAAGCACAAGGTAGGGCATGTTTACCTCAACCTGGCCACTGGTGCTTAAATGCCTAATTGGTTCCATTTGATAATAAATCAGAAACTATTTGCACTTCCTTGCAAGCCCTAAACATCAAGTACTTACAGCCCCTAGACTCATGTGGGTTGGCATGAAGAAGCTAATTAATGTAGATGTGCTTGCTTGGACAGAGGGAAAAGTAAAAGGAACATAATACAAGAAGAAAAAAAAGGATTGGAGCCAGTAGATGAAGCAAATTGTTATTGGAATTGCACTAAAAGATGAATAAGAAAAAAAAATTATCAACCTAAGCCAAGGAATGAATTCAAAAGAAACAGATCAATTTCTTGTATTTTGGAGAATAAAACCATCTTCTTTTTTAATCAGCAACAAAAAGATTTCATTAAAAAATGGAAAAAGGTACAAAGCGAGGAAAAGACATCCTCCAAAAACAAATGAAAAAAGAAGGAAAGAAAATCCACTAATAAAGCAAAATAAAAGGGCCTCAAGGAATACAAATAGCCCTCCAATCATTGGAGATCAAAAAAAGCAATACCCCTTTAAACAACGAGGAGACGTGTGCCCAAAACGAAGCCAATAACTCACTTTATCCCATAGTGAGTCAAAGAATAATACCATCTTTTCTTTCAACATCTTAGCACAAAGTATCCATTTTCAATTAAAAGGAGCTAATTTCTCAATTTTCGTTATATATTCTCTACAATCATCAGCAAAGGATATCATATAGAACAAAGTGACTTAAATGCATAAACAAATGATGTGTTTAACCAAGGGAGATGCAGGTCAATTCAACAAGTAAAACAATAGTAATTGAAAGGCAGTCTTGCACCTTCTTGGCATCTATTTGACTTTCCAAAACTCGGGGAGACAGGGTCCTCGCCAAGGAAGTTGATCTTGACCAATCAAACAGTGATGCCTGACCTCTAAGAATCCGTCTCAGATGATCCTGGTAACGGAATATAAACATGAAGCAGCATTCAATTTTTTTCATTGGTAAATATGAAAAAATAACCACTTATTTGATCTTACAAACATATCAATCAATAAACCTAGTTGCAGCATAAGAAAGAAATTTTTTACAAAAGGTATCTCCCTGATAGCTATGTTACATGGACTGTTCAAAATAAATCAAATTGTTACAATATGATTTTTTTTTTTTTTTTGCCAAGTCTATGTACCTTTAAATATGAAGTTTGATGGGTCCAATCTCTAGACTCCCACTCATACCCGACACAGGTACCCGATTCCATGTAACATATATTGATAACTTTTAATGCCTAAAATCATCTTTTACATGATCCAACACAAGTATTATGGACATAATTTTTAGAATCATGTGATTCATTCAATTCCAGTTTCAGCCAAAATTATTCGAATCATGTTGTTGAAACAAAAATTGACAGTAATTCAAATTGTTTTTTTTTTTTTTGGATAATATACGAAACGGCATCGTTTTCACCGTTCTATCAAGAAATAAAGAAGAGATCAATTAGTTAAATTTGATATATTCAATTTTATTTTTATATGCATATATAATTTAGTTATATTAATATTTATTTCATTTTAAAATAATGTGTATATTATATATATATATATAGTATATCAAATATAGTGAATCTTACGATTTATGATTCAATGTAGCTCATGATTTACTATTTTAACAAAATGGTTCATGATTCGATTTGCAATTTGATAACAATAATTATAGACTTGTTTATTTTCAGTCTCTCTTCTTAATCTCAGAATTCATCAGAATTATCGGTGCTGTAGAATTATTTTTAATTTTTTTTTTCCTTGTTAGGTAAGCATTTTTTAATTTTTGTCAATTGAGAACTCATATACATTTTGGTAACTGATCTTTATAAACTGTCCATTTGTTAAGTCATTCAACATCTGGCAAGCTCATGATAACCCAACCACATATTTAATCTATGTTACATGGACTTAGGTGTGGTTATGTGTCGGAGTGTCAAATTCATCTATTTTCAAGTCGAGGACACCGGGACACAACCATATTTAATATTTCTATTTTAAAGGGTAAAATGATGTTTATAAACAAAAATACAGAATTTTATGTATAAGGTAGAAGTCTTGTGCATATCCTACATATATAATAAACGCTACTACTTGTACCGGTTGAGTTTATCTCCAACTAGGCATAGCAGACACATATCCCATATACTAATCCAAGTATCAAGTATCAGGCAGGGGCACTTCACAAATTTAGAAGAGTACATTCAACATAGGATTTAATTGCTTTTTCAACAACTAAAGATTTAACATGTAGAGTTTCCCATTTCTTTCTCTCTCGTGTTAAAATCAAGACCAGATCCATTACCCACAGTTTCAGCAGAAATATAATAATGTTGGCTACAACTTTTTTTATTTTATTATATCCAACCTATGAAGAATAGGGGATAAAAAAAGTGAGAAAAGCTATGAACAAAATAAATAAGAAGAAGAATTAGAAGATTAAAAAAAAAAAATTCTACATAGAAACCAATTAAATTGAACTCTTGTTTTTGTTCCCATTTAAATTATTTATGCTTGTAATTCTATTTCTTACAAATTATAAGTCCAGAACAGATGCACACACTGATGATATTCACTTATGGTGCAGCAATGGTAAAAGGAAAATATTGCACTCGAATCCAAGATAATTTCATCGTCAGTCATGCAATTAGAGTGCAAAAGAGAAATGGTGAAACATGACAATGCATCATATGAATAACAGCAGGTTCAGACTTACTAACCAGTAAATGTGAGAAATCAAGTTCCTTATGCGTGACTGAAAATTCTATATCAAATGGTGCAATCTGAAAATCCAAGCTTCACAGTTAGGAATTATATACTCAAACTGATTACAATATTTACCTATATTAAAAGGTGGGAGATAACCTGCTCCCTTAAGATGAGGAGATGCTTTATAAGGAAAAGTTGCCCATCCATTGGTGATGCCTTTTTTGCAATCAGTCTGCTTGCTTTCTGCCACAGATAAAGGAAGAACCAATCTTATACAGTTCATTCCACATCATGGTTGACTCCCTTTTAACACCCCAGGTGTTACCCTTTTCATTGTTTATGAGCATTTTCCATCTCAAGTGTGATTGAATCTAAGTGCTTGTGATGAAAGAAACCCCAAGAAAATTTTGTCATGAAAGATATAATTGGTTATTGTAAAATTTATCCTAGGATATGTGTTTGCTTTTTCCATCCCAGGTATTACTATTCTCATTATTTATCATCCTAATTAATTTCCTAAATGCAAATGCTTCATATGGTTAATTATGTATCATTTATGTTTATTTGTGATTGTGATCAAGTGATATAACTTATTGCGTAAACATTTTGAATCATAAACCAAATTGATTAATTTCATAATTAGCCTCAAGTTGGAATCTATGGGAGATTAGCAATTTAATTATTGGCATTTAAGCAACTCTAATATAATTAAAATGTATTAAGGGGAAGCCACTCTTGGACCTAGGAAGGGTTAAATACACATAACCTTACCCCCACATGCAGAAAGATTGTTTCTATGTTTTGAACTTAGTTGCACGAAGCGGGAGCGGGAGCGCGGGAGCAGGAGCGGAAAAGCGTGAGCCAATAGAAGTTTTTTAAGTTGGAAGCGCCTTGGGGAGCGATAATATATATATTTACAGTTATTTTTAAAATATATTTATTATATAAAAATAAGTTAAATAATTATTCTTAAATATATTTATTATTTTTATTGATAATATTTTTAATTTATTTATATGTTAAAATAAATAAAAAGAAAAATTAGATATTTTATTTTATAATTTTTTATTATATATGATTTAATTAGATTTTTTTTTAAATATTTGAATGATTTATTTTATTTATTATATGTTAAAAAGTTAAGAAATAATAATTTACAAAAATTATTATTATATATGATATTTTAAGAAATAATAATTAGATATTTATAAATTTTATTATATATATTATATATGATAAATCATATTATATTATATATATATATGATCAAACGAGAGAGAGACAGAGCAGAGACAAAACGAGAGAGAGAGAGACGAGAAGAGAAGAGAGAGAGAATAGAGACGAAGTCGAAGCCCTAATCTCAGATGATCGAAGCCCTCAGAAATCGAGATCGACAGTCGACGTCGAAGGCCAGGTTTCTCTCTCTCTCTCCCCTTTACGATCCTACCATGGACTGAATCGCGTTTCTGTCTCCACCGAAACGCAATTCTTACACGTTTCCTTCTAAGAAACGCGGAATCGCGTTTCTTACGAAGATTCGTCACCTCTTTGAGCGATTACTGCAACTAAGGTTTTGAACCCAGGATGTCAAGGTCACAATGCAGCACCCTTACCGCATGGGACCCACGTGGATAAAGCATACATTGTATTGCCTTGAATTTTTAGTACATTCTTATGTGCTAGTGCTGGATTTACATTTTTCCAAACAAGGACCGTTGCTAGTGCTAGATTTACATTTTTCCAAACAAGGAACGTTGCGCTTGAACATGATTAATTAAGGTTGATAAAGTGATTAACTTAAACCACGGTCAAGACTTAGTAGAACACAATATTTTCACAGGTACGAATTGTGGGTTCCACCTTATGTGGCACTCACCCTTTACCTCACTTCTTCAACATGTCTTAATTAAAAAAATAAAATTTATAACATCGGACACTTTATTGACATTTTGGGGACACTTCTTGAACAGTATGAACACACTACATTCTTCAAAACACAACTTATGCACTCTAAATATGTTTTGCAACTTTCATAAGATAAATATATCATGTATATTGCAATGTTCTATAACTGTTTTGCATTCTTTATAATGTAATTGTTACGTGAATGATATTTTGTTGCTTAAATTATGAAATATATACTTTTTAATGTAATTATTGTTATGTTAAATATTTTTCATTATCTTTAAATAAATTGTTCATATATATCACATATAACAAATTTGTAAGATTTTTGACAAGTCGCAAGCTTGTCATGTCTACCATTTTTTTAAAATTGACATGTCTGTGAGCCTGTGTCGTGTCACGTGCCCGTGTCTGTGCTACTTAGTGTGTAAGTGTGGACTTGTGATGTAACATACATATGTTTTGGGTTGGTATGTTAACTTGTGTATGTGTGATGGGATGGCCTTTTGTGCCTTGACCAAGTTTAATGTAAATGAATTATGCAAATAGTTTATGTATTTCATTAGCATTTTGTGAAGGGATTTGAGACTGAAGAATATGCTCTGTAATGTCGACCACATAATTACCCTCAAATTATGTAACATGCTTCCACTATAATATAAACAATTCAATAATAAATAGGTTCACTTGACATCCAGTGCCGGTCACACCTCTAATTCCATATAGGGTGAGGGTGGGGTCATGACACTTTCTCAAGGTCACTGATCAAATTTCGGGTTATGCATAAAAGAGGATGCTTTATATTATATATATATATATATATTACTATTAGAAAGCCAAACACCCCTCCTACTTTTGAAGCCAGTTGGCAGATCAATCTTCTGATATCTCAATTTTACAAATATCATTTATTCTAAAATTAACAGGAGAAGAAGACCTTTTAGTACTTTCAACAAAATTTAAATCTATATGTTCCCCATCACCATCTTTTTCATAACTCTCCACTACTACCCAACATTCACTGTCTTTATCTCCCAGCTGTCTTATCATGAGAGGTTTGATCATGTGTATATCTATCACGTGTGGCATGGCATCCTCTCCAGTGTTTATAAAGCAGAAGCAGAAGCAGAAGTAATGCAGTACAAACTTCTAATCACTAAAAAGTGTACTGACGAATTTTCTGTTAGCTCACTTACTTGGATGGAATCGGAACAAACTTCAACAGCTTCCTGATATAGATAGAAACCAGTCAGTTGATTAGAAAATAGAGGTATACATCTAAATCTACAACAGGAGTTCAGCGGAAAAGATTTCTAAAAAAAAACCTGTGCCAAACCCGTGAAAACTGTTGGCTCTAAACAGCGATACAATTTCGATAAACAAGATAGAGTTTTCTCCAGGGGTGGGTACCATGTCTCGAAAACATCTGAGTTTTCATCAGCCTGCGTTTTATAAGAGAAAATATAGAGCTTAGCACAGTTGTATGACAACTTTACATGAGAAATCATAAAGTAAATAAATATCTGGACAAAACCACGATAGGAATTCAACTAGCAATTTGTCCCTCAACCTGTCCACCGTTGATTGTCTCTCCATCTTCTATACTCTGTAAATAGCCGGTGAGTTTGAGGATGACTTTGGGTTCATGGTTTGTTCTATGTCAATACTTTCAGAGGCCAGGCATTTGAACAACCTTTGGATTTGAGTGGTTTCAGAGGTTCAAGCATTGAATTGGATTTAGCATTTGAGGAAATAATCTCGCCACAATCTATGGTCTATTGTATTTGTGTTTTGTATACATTACAAAAATGATAGGTATTGAGATTAAAAATATAAACAAATAAATTCTGTTGTGGCATGTGTATATGATTCCTTTTAGGTCCAATGTAACTTGAACAGAATCTTGAAATCAAATGAGAGACTAAAAAATGGTAGCAAAAATTATTTAATTAAAGCATTAGCTCACTAATATTTATTCTCTTGTGCAGCCTAATGAAAACTATTTAATAATGACATAAACACATGATTATACATGGAAATGGTAGGGTTTGACTTACAGAAGTAGTTTCTGATATCATCTCAGGAGATCGTTCCAGCTTTGCAGGGTAATCCAAATCTTCATCGAAAGGAATGTAATTTGCAATCTTGAAAACAACAAGAGAAGGGTTCAAAAAGATACTAGCATAGTTGACGGAATAATAGCTTTATCAGAAGAACGATCAAGATAGATAAATACAATTGGCATGCTGGAAGCAACAACAAACACACTAATACCATAATGACAATCAACTAGGATAAGAACATCAAAATTCTCCTTGGATGCATTTTACATGGATACTACTCTCCACATCTTAGAATGCTGGTATTCCATAGTGGTTGCAAGTCGTTTCAATTTCCAATTGACTTAATAGACAGCCTACTAAAATATTAACCAACTGAACGATGTAAATCAACTGACAGTAAAGCAGGAAGCATAGGGATGATAATTCTGATAATCTAAACCCTTCAAAAACTCCTGCAATGTCCTGTAAACTAATGAGTGAGCTAGTTTGTATGTATAAAATAATTACATAATTAAAAATATAGTTTGTTGTCTCTGATTGCTGATTCAAGAAACTCCTCTGCAATGGATTACATTCAGGTACAACAAAAAATTGGAAAACAAATAATACTTCACTAATAAATTAATTATGTACAACTAGAGGTCTACATAATTAGTCTGCTAGGATTTGCTGCTCCTAGCATCCCCCACCAGTGGAAACTCAGAAAAAAATTAAAAATTAAAATCAAAGCTGGCAATATTATGTACAACTAGAGGTGGGACACCGACAACGTGCATATTCCTCACCAATGATATATGGACTCGGGGACAATTATCGAGTGTGGATGCATATTCAAGCGTCAAAGCTTCACACACCTAAATCTTAGGATATTGGAATATGTATTCAAAAGTTAGATATTGGTACAGGTTCACATCATGGTCACTTACATATAAGGCATATTGTATAGTATTTTTATTTATTTATAAGATATTGTTAATTATGTAGAAATGCAATTGAAATTAAATAGTAGGATTTTAAAAAATATATATGGAATTTATCTCTCATAAATGTGAGAGGCTAAAAATGTTTCTTTACTAACAAACGTGAATGTCTTTTTCAAATATCATAAAAAGTTAAAAGATTTAAGGGTCCGTTTAGATAGATGTGGATTTCAAATCAAAGGATTTGATCTTAATCATTCAAGGACAATAACTCAAATTTAGATATGATAGTTTATTTATGAATTTCAAGATTCAATTAAATAGCTTAATCCTGATGAATTTGAAATCACCATAAAAACTAATTATTTGAAATCATGCTAAGAATTATCTTTCTAACTATTAAGGATCCTATCCTACCAAAACGGATATATACATCTTCTATTTCGACTTATCTTCTTCCATTGTTTTTCTATCTGTTTAACCTCAAATCCATTGATTTGAAATCCACAATTATCCAAATGGACCCTGAGTGTCTAAATTGGTTATGGGTGTCAAGACACATTATCCCACACCTTTACCCTTGTCATATCCGGTGGACACTGCTACTTTGTGGAAAATAGAATAGACCATGTAGCACAGTTTCTGCCCTCATTTTATCTCTACCTGAACACAGTTCTACTTTTTTTTCTTATGTGATCACTATTCATAGTTATGATTCAACGTTTTAAAAATATTGCCACATCAGTATGAATATATATATATTACACTCTCTCACAGAATGCCAGATGGCAGCAACTTAAGAAATAGTTCCATAATTGAGTGACATACCAACTCTAGGACTGGTTTTATGTAATAGAATAAATATAATCCTAGAAAAAATCAAAATGTCAAGAAAACAAATGAATGTTAATGTAAGTGAAACTACTGAAGAACAAATAAAAATAAAAATCTCACGTGTGATACCTACTTCATCACGAATATGGGTTCGAGCCCGAAAAGTTAATCGCTCGTGAACATCGGCTAAAATTCTGTCTAATGTAGGACGTAATCCAGCAAGTGATTCACTTCGTCTACTGAGTTGTTCTCCAAGGACTTCAACTTTAAGAATATCAACAAGTTCACAAAGAATATCAAGATTTGCTTCATGAATAAGTTTTGGGCGTAATGTATCGTACAAGTATGTACACCTGCAAGTAAGTTAGCAGCAAGGTAAGTAGGCATAGGGCGTGAAGGTGAAGCACCCAAACCCACCAAAACATAATATGATGCAAATTCTTATAGAAGAAAAAAAAATGAATTTCCTGGTGTCACAAATAAACTTTCAATGTAATGGGGTGCGATGGTTCAATCCACAGGCAGGTTTAGGGTGAGATAAACCAAATATTTGAAAGGGTTGAAAGAGAATGTCTAGTGCTAACGAAGTGGAAGGTTCTGAACCTGGCAATTTCGAAACAAAGATGAAAGAACAAAGCTTTGAAAAAAAACAAAGCTATATAATCATCAAAGCACCCAGTACATTCTGGGACCAAAATTAGCATGCTCTCAAACTATTAGATAATATTCTGAGCTAGCAACAATGACATGGAAATTGCTTGGTTAGAAAGGAACAAACTCTTGGAAGCCCACCCACAATCATTGTTCTGGGCTCCAAGCTAATCAAAAGTCATTTTGATGCCGTGGAAGGTCTCTCTGCAGCAGTTATAGGCCCTTCAAGTATGATAATTTTAAATCATATTTGTAGAAATTCATCTATTTGACTACTTATACATGAAAGTAGAATCAGAACAGAAAAGAGCAGCCAAAGCAAGACACCATTACATAAAAAATCCCCACCCCAAGAGCTGATTGAACTTCTTGTTCGACTTTAGGAGCTATCATGATGCAAACTATGGTATTTACTTACTAGTTCAGATGCAAATACAGTTTCCATTCCTCTTCGTTAATGCTTATGTGTTTACCTCAATCTGCGCCACAGGTCTAACCTTTTCTTTGGATGAGTAATGCATGATATTAGATGATGCCAGAAGGCAAGCCAGAAAATGTATGTCTCATATAAAAACCTATAAAAATACTTTATTACAAAAAAACTATAGGACTAAACTGCGTGCCAAAGCTAAGCTCCTGTCAAGGAGCACAAGTCACCTCGCAAATTCATAAAAGAGAAGGAATCAGAGAATTCCCTGTTAACTTGTCTAATGGAGGAAAAAAATTCAGGCAAATGTAGCACTCTCTCTCTCTCTCTTGCTCTTTCAACTTGATGTCAATCTTATCAACCATCCACTATATCAAAAAACCACCCATTATTGATCCCATCAAAGACTTGATCACATTGGATCAGACCCACCTCTCACTCCAAATTAGCCCTTACCATTGGCAAACTCCTGAGTAGACCAATCATGGAAACTGGCTAGAGGAGACCATTAAGTCTATAACCATGTGTTCACCAACTGTGAAACCAATGAAGGATTGCAAGTTCAGCCTGTGTCACCTATGAACCAAATTAAGGGTCCAACTATGCCATAACCATTAACTTGAAAAAACTTCTACACTTGCAAAAAACTAAGGGAAATAATTTTCACTGATAGCTTGATATTTATCACTAGAATGTAGCATGATACACCATACATTAATTTATAGAAACACAAGTGCCTGCCAAATGAGAAGGAAAAAAGTAAAGGAAAAGAATAAGAGCAAAGACAAGAAGAACAAGCAAGACAAAATAAAGGGCACTCACAGGGGATCTATCAAAGGAGCCAAACTTGAAATATCTTCTGAAGACGAAGGGAAAAAATGATCAAAGAGTTGATGCTCAAGCTGACATACCTGCAATTTAAATATTAGCCAATCAAAATGCCTCAAAGCTATATCCCTTGCATAGGTTTTATTTCCATAGTATATATGTGCTTCCAACACATGTCCAATGAAATACTTTAGAGGCAATAAAGGAATTACAGAATATATGCATGAGTGATTAAAAAAAATTGGAATTAAAAGGTTTATGCTTTCATATCCATAATATAAGCGCTTCTGACACCAATCCAATGATTTTTTATTTTTATTTTTTATTATCAGCAACAAAGATGTTGAAAAAAAAGATATCGTCCTACAAAATATTTGAGAGCCAATAAAGGAATGACAACACATATGCATTATTGATAAAATAAAATGGAAATAAAATGATAACAAAAGGTAAAAGGTAATTGTAGAATGAATTTCCAGCTTAAGCATAACCAGTAAGTGGTCTTATTGCATGTTGTCTTGGGAGGGTTAGGATCAAAGTTAAACAATGATTGTTGATACACATGCTCTGGATTATCATTGACCCCACTCTACCCAGACAGAAGGAAAAATATGCATGTAGAAATAACCTTACTTGAGATTTAATCTCAAGTTGAAGATGTAACTACTAAGATGGAATATATGAAACACTAGGTCAAGGAATGCAATTTGATAAAAATTGAACCCTGTAAAACTGGAGTAGAACGTAATTTGAGATAGTAGCATCCAAATTTCCTTTTGACCAGTGAATCAAAATATAGATAAACTTGAGTTCAACATATTACCTGCTTTGCAACACGTTTGTTTAAAAATAAATTAATTAATTAACTTCTAATATGTATGAAATTCCACACACACAAAAAGGGGGGGGGGGGGGGGGGGGGGGGGAATTACAAAGAAGAAAAAAAACAGGGTTTAGCCCTTGTAACAAATAAACGATTAATTTTTAATTTTGTCAATTTAAACTCCAATATTTTGATTCGTTTTCAATCTAAATCATTTGTCTATTTTCGGTTAAGTAAAACCGATGGGGAAAAAAAATATTTTAGCCATTTAACTCAATGAAAAGGGGTATTTTAGACGCTTTATGTACACCTACATTGAGTTTAATGGCTAAAATACCCTTTTTCCAGCAGTTTTACTTTTAGATTGAAAACAAATCAAAAGAATAAGGTTTAAATTGACAAAATTAAAAACTCAGGGTTTATTTTGTTACAAGGGTCAAATTTTGGTTTTCTTTTTGAACTTTCGCCAAAAAATAAATAGAAACACAAATGCTCTAGACAGCACCTAATAATCCCAAAGGCCTAGGAAATTCATGTCTCGAACTTTAAATAGGGCTAATTTAAGCTTCCTACCATTACCCAAAACGGAGAACAACCTAGGTTTGGTAAATATTAAACATGTAATTTTCACAGAACCTGCATTAGGTATGCACATCCAGATCTAGTCAATGACGGCAACTTTTCCTTCTTGGCAAACTCAGATATCCGCTGATGCACTATGCCTTTAACCTAAATAAAATACACAAAAAGGGCAATTGTGAATGGAAGTGTATAATTATTAGAAACAAAAATATTTGACCAGCCTACCAAGGAGAGCCGCTGTTCACAGTATAGTTTGTGGCATTCTGCAAGAATTTGGGCATATTCCTTCCTGGGTGATCTGCTTTCAATTTCCTCTAACACTGGCTTAAGCTGCAAATGCTTACAACTATTAGTCACATCTATTTAACAAACAAATCATGCAAGATAATCATTTCCCAAAATGAGTTTCAGATGTAATCCTGCTTTCATGCCAATATATTCCCTATTGTTGTAAGTCATCGTCCTCCTAGAACCCAAATAATAGCCTGGTCTGAAGCCAAAGAGATGAAGAATCAACACCATTACCTCACTTGCTGCTGCTTTAAAACGGACATATATGACAGATGCTTCTACACCCTCTGAAACAGCTGTTTTGCTGCCACTACTGCTTCGGATTGCTGCCTGGACCTGATGAATGAAATATTTGACAGAGTTTTGCATTGGTAAATAAAACAAATTTTCATTTCTGCAAGGGGGCTTTACCTGAGAAGAAGTATTTTTGAGAACAGACAGTACATGAGAACGAATCATCCCTAGTGCCCGAGACTGCCAAATGAATGCATGCAACATGTTCTTTAGAACTTTAAAATCCAAATCAAACCTTAGAGGCATCAAAAGCACCATCCAACAAAGTAAAAGAGAATTACTATCTGCCACTGAACAATTTGAAAGCTATTAATAATATATTCTCTTTGGTACCTGGAGTTGTCGAAATTTGACCAAGTATACACTGGATTCTGCATACTGTGGATTGCTTTCAACGTACCTAAATTCAATTCAACAATAAATAAGAAAAGTAAATTTATATGCTCACATAAATATCTCAAGTTTAACAATATCAGTATAATGATTCTTGTAAGAGCATGCTTGCAAGAAGCCAGCAATTTTTTTTTTTTTTGATAAATAACAAAACTTTATTAGAAAGCATCAAGACGATGCAAAGAATACCAAAGGGCAGCCCACAAACGTACTAAACAAAACTAACCAATCAAATCCTCCACAAAGTCTACAAAGCCCAAAACATTGGGATCAACTGTACCCGTAACCCAACTATGCAACACCATCAACAACCTATTCTCTAACCATGGAACGGAAGGACAGTCAGCCTGAAGCACGTGCCTATTCCGTTCTAACCAAACCGACCAAAGCAAACAACGTGAAGCAAGCACCCAGGCCTTTCGGCGCCTCTTTCCCACCCTAGCCCCACCCAAGCCAGCAATTTTCATTATTAGATTACACATAATGATATGCTTAACAAAAACATTTTCAGTCTCCAGTATCAATAACATACCAGGATGGTCTAAACTGATTAATTTCAGATAAACAGGGTTACTTACACAAAATGACTGGCCTTAAAAAATAGACTTACGATATGCACTCATCAAGTCTTTTGAGCAGTGGGAGAAAATTTCCATTTGCAACATTCATGTTTGGAGAATAAAAATTGGTAGCAACCTACAAACATGCACAATAAAAGATCCCTGAGATTTACAAGAGCACACGGATATTACTAAACATAATAAGTGAAAATCTTGTTCCTCAATGCCAAAACAATATAGAAAAGTCCATCTAGAACTTTGCAAGTACAAAAAAAGCAAGAATAAATCATAGTTGCCAAATGATGATCAATTATTCATAACATACTCTTTTTATATTTTTCCAAACATTGCAACATACATCGTTTATATCACATCATGGGTCATAAGCTACTAACAATTATGAATGACACAAACTTACTAAGCAATGTGAAAACACAAGAATCTTGGCACATACAATTAGACACCTCATAATATCTACGTCTTTTCAGAAACTGACACCCATTCTTTTTTATCAACATTAGTACTACATGTGTGTGTGTGTGTGTGTGTGTGTGTACCCCATTTATCTTAATTAATTTTTTTAGTCTATTAAGCAAGCTTTTATCAAAACTTTAGAATCTAAATACAATAGAAAAGTCACGGAAAATGTGTCTCATCTCATCTCATCCACCTTTAGGGAAGCCACTGGATTGAGCCAGCCCAAATATCTAATAGTTGTTCAAGCATGGGTCATGAGTTAAAGGGTGTTCAAGCTTTGGTTGAGCTCCTAAAAATTTGTGTGAGCTTGACCTAACCGCCTAGCCACTACTCACCAAGCTCACAAGCCATGTAGACTCATTTTTTATATGTTGTACTTTTCTAAAACCTATAATCTCAAATGAAATGTGTCACTCCATTGTTACTTTTAACTTCAATTTTGAATTTGTCGCTTCCACACAAATATGAGTTGGTGCAATATGAATCCCTTAGATAACATAGCAATCGAACCTTACGTTTTCCAATTCATCAAAGTACTTGAGCTTACTACGAAGTGCTTCTGCAAATTCAATGAGTCTTTGCTTCTCTATTAGCTGCAACAAAAGCAAGCAACTAAAACAAGTCAAACTAGGGCATTCAACATTGTACACAGATTATTCCATTTTATAATAAAATAAATAAATAATCATGTAAGAAACTAACCATCACCATCTAAGTCAACCTGTGAGGTACAATTATCAAAACTGGATTTTAAAGGAAAAAGAAAACACAATAAAACAATTTAACTGAAGCAACGAAAAATGCCACACATATAATCTGACACCCAAAGATTGCTTGTTCCAATGCTAAACAAAAGCAGGGCCTATTTCATTGATTATCTAACCATTTGAATAAGCTTTGAACATTTGGCCCTAAAGAAATGTAATTATCTCATGCCATGGTCAGCAGAGTTCTAAGCCTGTGCCCTATCATGTTACAAAAGGTCCAAATTAAGCTTTTAACACTTAAAAAAACCTTGAAGCTACACTTTATAAGGTCAAAATTAACAACAATTGCCACTGGTAATCTAATCGAGTGAAGTATCAATGCAAAGTGAATAGAAAGAGGTCCATACCAGTCGATCACATGCATCATGAAGAGTTCTGGTCTTTGTTGCCACTGCTTGATGCTGCAGCTGTAGTTCATTAAACAAATCCAGGGTTTCATCCACCTACAAAAAAGTTAGTTCAATTTCCTGTTTTGTTAATTTGATAGGCAAGAATTAAAACCCAAGAAAAGTTCAACCATATGACAAGATTGTATAATTGTTAAAAACAACTAATAGACAAAAGTAGAAAAATATGTACAAGTGTTTTCATAGATACTTTACCTGATGGAGTATACCGTCACATGTCTGTATGCGTTCGGTCAAACTGGTTAAGTAGTGTTGATACTTCTCTTCGGTCTATGCAAAGAAAAAAACCAGGGACAATAGCGATCAAGATCACAATTTCTCTATGAAAATAAATATTTTGTAAGAAATCAACACTAACCTCTGATTTCATGGCTGCTTCAAGATCTGTAAACCATTTGTAAAACTACACCAAAAGAAGCAACAGATATAGAAAATTATCTTTCACAGTGAAATCTGAATTACAAAGCACTCACAAAACTTAGCACATATAAAACAACCATAAGGAACTATATACTGCTATCAAAATTTTCTCAAACTGCTCTTAATGGCATTTCAAATGTGGGGTACATGGTGGGAAATGAGATAGCAATAAGGTAGAGAACTTAGGGAACCAAGGACTACAAAAAGTATGACAATTACAAAGTGAATGGCCTACTCAAATATTTTTTGGGTGAGTGCCCCAGCCAAATATTCATTTTGTGCTTGCTAAATGGGAAAGGAAGAGAAAAGTATAATATTTTTGTTTTCTCTTCTTTTCTCTTGTTATGGTTCTCCATTTTAAAAGAGTATAGGGGGGAAAATGATGGAAAAAATCATTTTAAAACTTTCTTCATAGGATCACCACGAATGAGAGGAAATTTGCACAAAAGTTGTCGCATGAAATACATTAAGCAAAAGATACAAATATATAAACAAAACTTAAAGATTTTGCCCTTGAATTTCTCCACATTTTCTCTTCTCAACCATGAGAAATAATTTTCCTTCCCTTCTTTCCTGTCTTTTCTCTTCATTTATTTTAACTTCTCTTCTCTTTTTCTCACCTACCAAACATAGCATTTTGGCTACATAAACCCTATTTCACCATTTTGATTTGTCTAGGGCTGTACTCACTGTTAGTGTATATAGTGATGCTTCTTTCTTGCTACATCAACTTTCCTAGAATGCATTCAACAAAAGTTAACATCTTAAAGGAGTAGTAATTGGTCTTTTTTGAACAATGAAACAATCTCACCCAACATGTCATAATGCATTTCAGCATGCACAAAGCTCCCATGCTTTAGTCACTCCATGAATTGTTACATAGGAAGAAAAGTCGGTGCCATAAGATTGAAAAAGAGGACTCCCATTTGATATAACAGGGCAGTTTAACCCAAAGACAAATATCACAGTAAAACTGACATTCTTTGAATCTGAGAAAGAATGATGATCATTTGTAGTAAAAATGTTGTTCAGAGTCAAATATGAAAAAAAATATTCAATTCCCATAAATTTATTTTTACCTGTCTAAGAAAGCATGCTAAACAATTATGAAGACAGCTGTCATCATTGTTTTTTCTGTTGAAAACCTTGCTAATAGGGAGAAGGTGCTTCTAATGGGTGTTGAATCCAAAAAGGATGGGCAACAAGCTAGACATTTCTTTGTCTGAAAAACGAACCTTCTTTGTCTTTCTGGAAGCATTTGGTTATAGCATAATAGAAGGTCATTTGAGGATGTTGAGTGGCTAGTGTGAAATCTTACGCTACCTCTTTTTTTGAATATTCTACATTCTTTTGGTTCTCAAAGCATGGGCTTTCTACTATAGATCCTTTTGTGGAGTCTACTGCTAGATTCAGTTTTTTGGGTAGAAATAAGATTTAGCCCCTCCTTGTATATGCAAATGGATTCTACTCCCCTATTGCAGTCTTCAATTGATATATTTTCTTGCTTATTTGAAAAAGAGAGAAGGAAAAAAAAAAAAAAACGAAGACAAGAAATCAAGTGGCTTACCTGATTCGTATTGACCAAAACTGCTTCAATAGCCCCCGATTCTTCCACAGTGCAGTGCTTAGTTGAAATGGACAAACCATTATCTTGTCCATGTACACGCTCCTGGGACTACAAAAGCAAAAGCTCGCTAATTGGCATGAAATTGTTGCACTGAAACATAAGCATTCACAGAGGTTGTAACGCATTATAGCACAGTGATGAGTCTCACCAATTTGACAGGATAAGGTTGCTCGGCAAATGCATGAGAAAGTGCTACTATTGCTGCTTGTTGCTGCTCTGTCAGCGGAGCATTCTGCACAAACAAAAATTGCAGGCCATAATAACTCACCCACAAAACCTCTACCAAATGTGGTTTTACTACTTTAAAAAAATAAATAAATAAATGAATAAATAAAACACCCAAACACACAAACAGATCACAGTGGCAAAGCTGGAAAATTTATCGAGAGGGGGCATGTATTTTGTATAGTGTGTATATCTAATATATCATCAAAACCTAATTTGCGAAATGGAAAACTAATTTTTCGCATATTTTTAGGAAATAGAAACCCTCGTTTTCCGATTTCCAAATTCCTAATATGGGTTTCTTGTCCCTATAATGACCAGCCATAACACAACACATAATTCCTCATAATTTATTTTTAAAATCAGCAAACCAAATTTAACCAAATCACAAAATCAAAACACATAAGAAAACCACAGATCAAATGAAGGAGAAATGAAAAAAGGGGGAAAATGAAGAAAACTACAACCTCCTTAGATGCCATTGTGGCGTATGCAGACCTTAAAATATTTGACAAAAAGCAAACATTTTGCAAAGACACCAAAAATAGATATAGATATAGACATAGATATATAAAAAATGGATAAAGAAACAAGGAAGAATGAAACCTGTTCCCAAGTAGAAGCGAAGTTGTAGCCTTTTGAAATGGCTCCGGATTTTGGAAGGCTTGGAGAGGCACCTGTTGCTACTGCTGCTTTGGTCGTCAACATTTTTTTTTTCTCCCAGGGATCTGCGGCTGATACTTATACTTGTATAATTACAAATGGCTCTCTGGTCATCTGTGCTGTAGAAGCATTCATACAATTTTAACGATAGTTATTCGTGATCAAGATAAACTATGATATCAGATCTCGTCACAAGTAAATAAATGTATGAGGAACTAAATTATATTCAAAATACTAAAATCAGAACAGAGATATGCTGATTTTTCAATTATTGTGAGATATCTCAAAACTAGGAACTCTCTCGCTTTCTACCTCATTCAAATTGATTCAGATTTTGGAGACAGATTGGGCGTGCTTACCTAGGACGGAGAGTGGGAGGGTTCCGGAGATCGGAGGACTGCTTTTTCACTGCCTGTTTGTTGGCGATTCGGGGGACTCAGAGCGCGCTCTCTCTCTCGATCTCGATGCTGCTGATAAATTGATAATAGACTGATGAAATGAAATTGAAATTAAATAGCTAGCTAAGCTAGTCAACCGACCGCTTTGTCATAAACCGCTACCGCTTGAATTCACTTAAGCAACTCAATCTCTGTTGTTGTTGTTGTTGTTGGGGTCACTTGGATCTAAATTCCTCTCAAACCATCCCCCTGCCATCATTCAACAATTTTTAGATGTAATTTTATTTCAAAATTACTTTTATATAAATTATTTTAAATTTTGTCAATTTTTTTTTATCAAAATCTTTTTAAAAAAATCTCATCTTATTCCAAAATTTTCTTTATAAAAAAATATATATATATTTCCAATACTTCATCTTTTTAAATTTTTATCAAATTTAAATTTGATAAGTTCTCAATTTAATGAAAAAATTTAATATTACTTAATTTGATAAACATTTGATGAAATTATTAATATTACTTAATTTGATAAACATTTGATGAAATTATTAGAATTTTTTTTAATATATTTTATTAAATTTAAATTTAATTAAAGAAAATAAGAATAATTATAGCTTCTATGCGGTTTGGGAAAAAGTCAAACCCGCAGCCGCCCACAGTGCGGTTTACGGTTTGTGCGGATAGGATTTGCGGATGTGCCGAATTGAAATTTTTTTCAAAAATTTATTTCTAAACCTTTTTTTCCCCCATTTTGTCTATTTATTTTGGACCATTTTTCCTCAATTTTCTAAAATACTCCAAATTCAATTTCAATAACATAACAGATTACAGATTCAGTTTCAATAACATAATTACAAATTCAACACAATCACAGATTCAATTTTAATTACAGATTCAACACGATTAATAACAGATTCAATACAGAAACACAGATTCAATTTCTACTTCTCACAGATCTGTTGCTACAAAAAAAATCAGATTTAATTCCAAACAAACACACAAATTCAATTTCCACTTCTCATAAATTCAACAACAGATTTAATTCCAATACCATACCACTACAACAGATTTAATTCCAATACCATACCACTACAACAGATTTAATTCCAAAAGACAGATTCAATTCCCAAAAAAAAAAAAAACAGATTCAATACAGAAACACAAATTCAATTTCCGCTTCTCACAGATCTGTTGCTACAAAAAAAAAATCAGATTTGGGCCTCGTTTGGCAAGTGGCTGAATTAGTCAAAAAGCCAAAAAGTTACTATTTTAGCCAAAAAGCCACCAATCTATACCAAAAAGTCAAAGATTCCCTTTTCTATCTACTTTTTTGCACATTTTTTCGTAAAAAATCAAAAAGTCATCCCCAAATATACTAACTTTTTTTACATCATATTTTAGCCAAAAAGCCAAAAAGTTACTAAAAAAGCACGTTCCCAAACAAGGCCTTAATTCCAAACAAACACACAGATTCAATTTCCACTTCTCACAGATTTAACAACAGATTTAATTCCAACACCGTACGACTACCACAGATTTAATTCCAAAAAGACATTCAATTTCAAAAAAAAACACACACACAGATTCAATACAGAAACACAGATTCAATTTCCACTCTTTTTGACAGTCATGGCAGTAACTCTTGAGGAAAAAAAGAATGCAGAAGCAGTTCTTTTTGGTGGGATTAGAAAATGGACAAGTCATTGACCAGTGGAGAAAGTGGAGAGTGGAGATAAGAAGAAAGTTGAATATTTTATTTTAATTTCCACTTCTCACATATCTGTTGCTACAAAAAAAATTAACAAATCTGATTGCACAAAATAAACGGATCTGATGAGATAAGAGAGTGAGGGAGACAAATCAGAGAGAGATCTGATATGTTGCAAAAAAAAATCAAAGATCGGGGAGAGAGAGAGAGAGGCTTATTTGTGAGGTCGATCGGTGTGATGAGAGAACAAGGTCGATCTTGCGATGAGAGAGAGTCGATCGGTGCAGAATCTGCAGATGCAAACCTAGAAAGTGAGAGACTGATGAGATGAGAAAGTGAGGGAGACCGATCATGGAGAGAGAGATCTGATATGTTGCAAAAAAATCAAAGATCGGGGAGAGAAAGAGAGAGAGAGAGAGGCTTACTTGTGAGGTCGATCGGTGAGATGAGAAAGCGAGGTCGATCGATCGATCTTGCGAACGAGAGAATTCGATCGGCGCAGTGCAAATGCAAAACCAAAGAGTGAAAAAGGGGCCCCGTTTGATAAAATGGGATCCTGCAACAGCATAATCCATATATGACTGCAACATACTCATATATTCACACTAGGTTTATTTTGCTCTGTTTTTTTTTTCCCTATTGCGAACAATCTTAAATAGGGGTGTACGCTCGGTTTGGGACGGTTTGCGGTTCGGTTTGGACCTGCCCGCATCTATGCGGTTTGGAGAAAAGTCAACCCACAACTGCCCGCAATGCGGTTTGCGGTTTGTGCGGATAGGATTCGCGGATGTGCGGGCAGTTGCGGATTAAACTTTTTTTCAAACATTATTTTTAGACCCTTTTTTTTCCTCCCATTTTGTTTTACTATTACTTAGCTTCTTCAAAACCAAGAAGACATGTAAAAAATTCCATGAAACATGAACAAGCAAGCATGCTCAGAGTTCAAGACAAATTTCTGAAATGGTTCAAGGATTTGATATCCAGATTAGCAGTAACAACCATGTTTAAATTACAACTAAGAGAATTAACACAATAGCACACTAACGAATGATTCCTAGAGAATACTATTTTGTTGTTCAATTACAAGGACCAGTGCAGTTAAAGCTGAGAATACCCACAAGGCACTAAGAACCTGTGTCACCAAAGTGCTCATCCAATCCAATTGATTCAATACACAGATTCAAAATTCAAAAATCAAAAATCAACGCAGATTCAATTCACAGATTAAATCAAATCCAATACACAGATTCAATTCAAAGATCAAAAATTAAATCAAAAAATTCAATGCAGATTCAAAAATTAAATCCAATTTCAATTTCAATACACAGACAGATTTAAATCAAAAAATCTGTTGCTACAAAAAATAGATTGGTTCAATACACAGACACATACATTAAACAAAAAAACATATCTGATATGTTGTAATACACAAAAAAAAATTGTTGCTTACAAAAAAACACATACAAAAAATCTGTTTCAATACACAGACACATACATTAAACAAAAAAACATATCTGATATGTTGTAATACACAAAAAAAAATTGTTGCTTACAAAAAAACACATACAAAAAATCTGTTTCAATACACAGACACATACATTAAACAAAAAAACATATCTGATATGTTGTAATACACAAAAAAAAATTGTTGCTTACAAAAAAACACATACAAAAAATCTGTTTCAATACACAGACACATACATTAAACAAAAAAACATATCTGATATGTTGTAATACACAAAAAAAAATTGTTGCTTACAAAAAAACACATACAAAAAATCTGTTTCAATACACAGACACATACATTAAACAAAAAAACATATCTGATATGTTGTAATACACAAAAAAAAATTGTTGCTTACAAAAAAACACATACAAAAAATCTGTTTCAATACACAGACACATACATTAAACAAAAAAACATATCTGATATGTTGTAATACACAAAAAAAAATTGTTGCTTACAAAAAAACACATACAAAAAATCTGTTTCAATACACAGACACATACATTAAACAAAAAAACATATCTGATATGTTGTAATACACAAAAAAAAATTGTTGCTTACAAAAAAACACATACAAAAAATCTGTTTCAATACACAGACACATACATTAAACAAAAAAACATATCTGATATGTTGTAATACACAAAAAAAAATTGTTGCTTACAAAAAAACACATACAAAAAATCTGTTTCAATACACAGACACATACATTAAACAAAAAAACATATCTGATATGTTGTAATACACAAAAAAAAATTGTTGCTTACAAAAAAACACATACAAAAAATCTGTTTCAATACACAGACACATACATTAAACAAAAAAACATATCTGATATGTTGTAATACACAAAAAAAAATTGTTGCTTACAAAAAAACACATACAAAAAATCTGTTTCAATACACAGACACATACATTAAACAGATCTGTTGCTTACAAAAAAAAAAAATTAACAGATCTGATATGTTGCAAAATAAATCAAAGATCGGGTGAGAGAGAGAGAGAGAGAGAGAGGCTTACTTGTGAG